CCAGAATAAGTAAGAGAGAAACAAGTTTGTTTGTTTTATAAGGATTTTCAGTATTCCCTGATGAAAAGGGCTATGGGGCATTAGAAGACTAAAGGTATAAGAGGAAGCAAGTTTAGTATTTGGGGAAATGAAGCTTAATTAAATTTTATGCCAAGCCAAACAAGCTTTTTTTTTTTTTTTTTTTACTTCAGTGAAAAGGTTAAAAACAACAAGCATTGCACTGTTCATGGGTAACAAAATTACCCATCTCTAAAGGTCACATTAAGTTGTGGTCACGTACAGGAGTATTTTTAGCTGATACAGTGACTTTGAGGACTCTTGAAGTAGCAGTCTAAGTAACACCGAGTAATAACACAATCTGTCCCACTGTTGAGCATTGGTAGATAGCTTTTGTTATGTTTAGTCAGAGCCAGGGTGGCTGCTTCAAGGTTTCCACTCTTTGTGCCAAACTAACTGCTAACTGTCAGACACGTTTTGTGTAATCACACTTTCATGCTAGCTCAGAAGAAAAGGTTTTAATTCTCTGGAGGATCTTTAACACAGAGACAGTAAATACCACGGCTTACTATTTCTGGGAAATAGCTGATGATACTATTTTGTACCATGCAAAAGTCTTGAGCCAGTCCTTGTTTCTTTATGCTTTGCTAGGTAAACCTGGCAATAGGTGCAACGATTTACTGAAACAGGCAAATGTACATGTACATAAGGCAAAAATAGAGTTTGTACGATTCTAACAGGCTTGAAAGTCATTGTTTGGTATGACACCTATATTTCTATACAGCCTGAACACAAGAGTTCTTTTAATTTTTTTAACTAGTCTACAGAAATAGTTCTCTAGTCTTCTCGAAGGACATTCTTATTTGGATGCTGTGTGTGTTGTAGACACTGTATATTGTATCTCCTCCAAAGACACTGATGACGACTGGACCCAAAAATTTCAGATTTATATTTTTCACTCAATAAGAACTGTTGCGACTGATTTTCAGTTCTGTTCTTTTAATTTTGCATACAGCCTTTTCTCCCTTAACAGGGGCTTCCTGACAGCCACCCTTTCACTGAGACCATTTTTGATGAGGCTTCACTGAACATTAGACATAGGCATCTTGCTCCTCTCCTATTTCCTTTGTTTTCCACTTTTGCAGTTTCCCCAGATTTTTTAAGGACACACAGCACACTAATGCTAATAATATTTGGGGAATTAGCTTGTTAGTGCCAAAATACAATTTTATCCCTCTCAAATGGTACAGGTCCCAAAGCTTTTGCAGTTCATCAACCCGACCATGTTCAAAAAGTGAACTTTTTTTTTTGCCTTTGCCATCCGAAGGTCATGACAGTGTGACCTGACAGAAAATGACAATGAATCAAGATTTTTGCACAGATTTGACCTTTTAATGGCATGTGGTCCTAAGCTCGATCAGCTGTTTCAGTTTTCAATAAATTGCATGCTCGAAAAAATGTTTTGTCTCACTCCCATTTCTTCTTAATGCATGTTCAAGGTCTACTTGGAACCTTGTTAAGATCCTACCATGCAAAATATGAGTTTTTGCCATTTTTCAAGTGGTCTTAAACTTTTGATTGGGACTTTATAATCGTTAGTATTTTAGAGATACTGATTCAACAAAAGAACTGGAAACAAATTATGTGTTTTTGTGCCTAAAGATATCATTTAAAATAAAATATTTGCTATTTTGTTTGGTGTGTGTAGACAAAATGCTTTATTATGTCGATTATGACTGATTCACAGGTCAGTATTAAGTTACCAAAAAAAATAAAATTCCTCTAAAAACGGTCGGCCTACGTTTATTACTCAACACTATTTTAAAAATTACAAGTCTGGCTCTTTGGAAGCAGAATATAAAGAAATGAGGGGGGAATCAAGACTTTTGCACAAGACCTTTTATGTGGCCAAAATGTAAGGATGTGGAAGCCAAATACACAAAAACATTTCACTTTGGTAGGTGGAAAGCCTGCATTTCGTCCTGACACGGCTATGGACTCACTTTTGGTTATTGTGATTTGACAAACCATGGGTTTGCATTTATGGGAGGGGGGCAAGTGTTACGGCCCTAGCCTCTCTCTCTCTCCTGAGGGTGCCTGTGTGGGCGTGTCCCACTACCTCCCCTGCCTGAGATGCCACCTTTCCCTCCTGTACAGCTGACTCCCATCAGCAATTAAGGGTATTTAAGCCCAGAGCAGGGTGAGCTCTGGGCCAGAGTGCCATTTTGTGTGGGTCCAGCTAGTGAGCTGAGTGTCTTGTGGTGTTTCCAGCTAGTGAGCTGTGTATTGTGGTTTCCAGCTAGTGAGCTGCGCTTTCCTTTTGACTTTTTGCCTTACTGACCGACGCCTGAGTTTTGTTTGTTTCTTTTATGGTGATAACGGCTTGTCCGTCTCTTTTAGTTGAATTACTTCAATAAAACTGTTTTATTTAACTGTTTTGCCTCCCTGACTCCTTTTTCTGACCCGGTCACTTTTGTTACTTCCCCCTCCCCGCCTAGACCCCTCAGGGGAACGTAACAATCCTTCCATTTTGATTTGTTCTGCTCACAATCATCTGACTTACGATGCTTTTTTTGCTTTTTGATCTGTTTGTCTTTCCAACTCCCACAGTCCCATCTCTCCTGTTAGGGAAAATTTGGGTGTTAATTGGACTGACGTGTTGAACCTTATTTCCTGCACATGACGTTTCTCGTGTACACACCAAAGACCAACAATTATGAAAAGGTTTACTGCCATCAGTAGAGTCAGAGTCAATCTCATCTCATGCTTATGCCTCCAGTAAATAGTCATAAAGCCAGAAATAGCACCGATCGAGCCTTGTCCTCCTCCTCTTGCTCATATAAATAAACATGCACGCATTTGTGCTCAATGATCTGTTCCATGGATGTGCACATTCACAGGCAATGCTCATTCTAACACATGCAGACCTGCACACAAAGGGCTCGTGTTTGTGTACATGCACTTTCTTCATAACTCATTCACACACGCGTTTCTCTTTTGCCCTGCCCTTGTTTATTTGACAAGCTACATCAGATCCCTGGCAGCCTAGGCTCCATTTAGATTTCCATTTATAGTGTTGAGGATGAATTATTAAAATCACCAGGAGATTTTTTAGCCTCTCTTTTGATAAAATTGAGGTCTGAATAGAAACTACAATGAGTGTAATAACTGCTACAATTCCCTCCTATTAAAACAAAAGCAATGAGCAGCTTACGTGAGGCAGAAAACCAGGTAATGAATGCATGGAGGGAGAGGCAGACAATGGGCAAACCAAATGCAGGTTTTGTGAAATGGAAATCAGGGGACTGACAGACACTTTTGAAAAGGCCAACCAAAGGCGACATGCATTTGATGAACACTTCTATCTGCAGGGGCATCATCAGAGAAGTCTTGAATAAATGTGCTGTGGTTTATAAAGGTTTATAAAGGCTAACACTGCACCTTCAACTGTGACCTGATGGTCAAATGAGTCACTGCTGCACTTGTGGCATGACAACACACCTATAACAATCCTTTTTCACGCTTCACTCTCAACCACAGCAGCTTTCTTCCTGCAAATTTCTTATTACACGCTCATGGTACTTGAAACATGGAAGGACATAGTGTCATGCACTACTGTCTTGCAGGCGGGAGTTAAAATGCATTTTTGTAGAATACATGTGTTATTTTCAAAAATCAAAGATTTATTATTTCTATTTGTACTTATTATCATACTATTTGTTTTCTTCTTTGTTCTTCTGTTGCTAGTATTATTGCCTTTGGGGTTTTTTTTTTCAGTATTCTACAAATACTTCTAGTTTAATTATAAGTTCTGGTGTAAACTCTATGAAATTTGTACAAGTGCACTTGAGGGAATAATGACCCTAACCCAAATTTGAAACTGCCCACCCATCTCAAGAAAATGGAGTGCAGTACATCATTAATAACAACAACGACAACTCAAACAAAACATTAAGTAGAATTTGAATTGCTCAGTTACAAAATATGGAGTGAAAATCTTAATCACGACACTTAAAAATAATGTGAACCTTAACACAAACTACATTGCTTTGTTTAGAATATGGTTTTAAAAGCTCCTCGCTTGTGTAAAATTGCAAAAAGATAGCTTCTCATTAATATTAATGACTTAAACAGATGGCGCATGAGCTCGGTGTTTGCATAAAAACAAGGTTTGGATCGTTATGTGTTGGAGAGCCTGAACAAACAGCAGGCATCTCTCTCCTGTCTGCAGGTAAGCATGCAGTCTTTGCTTGCTGGCAGTAAGTGCTGAGTCAGGCATACTCATCCCAGAGATACTCATCTCAGAGATCTTGTGGGAATAAGATCATTCAGCCCTGCTCACTGCTGAAGGATAATACCCAAACACTATTCATTTCATTTCATTCATTTCATTTATTTATTCATTTTCAGGCACAACAAATACCTATATTGAACATAAAATACTATGAGGATTTGAATGCTTTCTAAAGAGTCTGACATGTTGAATTCCTAAACAATGGGCAGTATCTTTGAGCTTTCCAAAAACCATGTCTGTGAAGACAGTCTTTAATATATAATCTTAAAAGTATTAGTATACTTTTTCATATTTGTCATTTTTTTCAGCTATCTGGAAAATTTTACAGTGGTTTTGGATCAAAGATCAGTCTGACCCAACTCAACATTTTCTATATATGAAGGCTCCATTGATCCAGTCTTGTAATGGCCCTTTTACATGTCACGATAAAGAAAAATTACTAATGGAAATGTTATCAGCAGTTAGAAGAGACCGAGCTAAAAATAACTAGCCTTTAAAAGATGATATCGCAGCAAAAATGCAATAAAATCCATGCCTTGATTATTTTCCATTAGAATACTGTAAAAAAACAGACTTGACTGTCAGTGTTTGTGAATGTAATTACTCTGTACTAAGGGATATGGATATAAAATAAAGTATAACATCACAAATTATGTATCAAGGTTTTAAAAGACAGGCAGACTTTAGAAGGAGATTGGACGATACCAACCTTAAGGGCAGGGACAGGCAGGGGCTTATTGTCCTTGTCCAGGGAGATGAAGGTGAAGAAAGCTGAGACAGCACGATATTTCCCCTTCTCTGCCTCCACCACTGAGGACGCGTCTACCAACACCTCAATCTCCATTGATTTGTTACTGACAAATGTGAGTCGTCCCGTCACCGTCACCACACACCCTTGGGAAGAAGAGGAAAAGGATATTGAGCACTCTGATTTTCAGTGTTTTAAAATAAAACCTAAATATGTTGCCATTTAGAGACATTTTCATTTTTTTGATCTTTACCATAACATTTTCTACTATTTCTCAGACATAGCAGTTATTTTAAGGCTTCACTTAGTCTTATAAAGGTGAAAAAAAGAAGTTGCACAAGGCATCAGGTTTTCACAAAAACACAGCATTCCAACCGCTACATCAAAAATACTGAATAATGTAAGTAAACTCATACTAAATAGCTTTAATTACACTGAATATGATCTATATAATAAACTAGCAGAGGAAGATTTCAGCTCTGGTCTTGCAGTCTCTATCACATTGTTGCATCATGGACTTTTCGAGACAGGCCGGCGACCTCTGGCTAAAAGCTCACGCTGAAGTAATATTGAAGCTGCACTTTCTCAGATATCTAATCAACCAACTGTCTTTCACTCAAAAATGTGCTCTCTACCTTTTGTCACTGCAGCGAGGTGGGAAAAAAAGTCATCAAATAATATTACAGAGCATTGTTGATGTATTTCATTATTCTCTTTGATGTGCCTGTACTGTAATATTACTGCAGTTGCCATAGAGACAAGGAAAGAAGGTGTTACTCCTGCAGTCAGGAACAGATCGCAAGTATATGAGTGAGATCTTATAAAATAGTCAAAGTCCTAAATAATAAATGATGCACATAAAAAAAGGGGGGAAAAGGCTTTTATCAGTGTATGAGCTGCAAAGCACTCTGACACGATGACAACAATACAAGAATTCTATCAGAATTAGACTTGACTGTTGTTCAGTTACAGATCTCGTATTCATGCAGGATACTCTGCAAAATTCATGGGTATGAGTTCGGTTTTCTTGACAAATAAGCCTCTGTTGTCAAAAGATATGCTTATAGAGTCAATAATTAGGCTTTTTGCAGTAAACCCAGGTTTGTTACCCTAACCCATCCATCCATCCACCCTCTTATCCAATTCAGGATCACAGGGGCCTGGAGCATATCCCAGCTGTGACAGGTTGAGAGGCCATGTACACCCTAGATAGGCTGTCAGGCTATCACTTGGCTGACACCAAGAGACAGACAAGCATTCACGCTCACATTCGAACCTAGGGCCAATTTAGAATAGCTAGTTACCCTAACATGAATGTCTTTGAAGTGTGAGAGGAGGCCCAGAGCGTGTGGAAAGAAAACACACACAGGAACAACGAGACTACATTTATAAAGCAGTTTTTAAGGCTTTAACAAACAAACTTTTTGTGTTTGTTTTGATTATGGTTTTCTGTGATGCAGCCTAGAACTGAAGTACTGAGGGTAAAAAGAAAAAAAATGGAGATGGCAAAGAAATGCAAAACTGCACACAGGTTCAGAGTAGGCACACATGAGACAATAACACAGTCAAACTTTATGCCATGCAAAAAATGTCCAAAATCTTAAATTACAAACAACAAGAATTCTAATGATATACGGAGCTTAGCAAATTGATTATCACCACCAAATACAAGGTTTAAGCCACAGCTGCCTTAAATTAACAGTATTATTAATTACCAAAATCACTTTTAAGTTTCTGTAATGTTTAATCCAACAATATGCACAAGGTCTTTAATCAAGTTGAGAAAATTCAACTTTCTAGATTTTTATATATGTTAAGATGACTATTACGCTATCATTATCACACATTCAGTAACCTTGGATGCTGAGATATTTAGGAAACGGCAACAAGGTGATCATGAAAATCCATATGGGTAAAGAACTTTAAACAGATAATAACGTGCAGTAACTGCGGTGAGGTCTTTTCAGCATACCTGGCAACCGAGACCACAAATTTAAAGCATTTCATTTCTCTCTTGTCGACTGACCTTTAGAGGATTTTTTTAATGCTCCCATGTGTCAAGTCTCATTTAAATAAACTACCTCTTACTAAGATTTATTAGGCTCAGTGAAACAACCTCTGCTCAGTGACATTACACAAAAATGAGGCTTGATGATGGGTGATTTTGAAGACCTTCAGATTAATGCAGAATGTAGCTCTTGACTTGTGCAGCATTGGAGGTCAGCCAACCAAAACAACTGGCAGAGTCCCATGTCTGAAGAGCTGATAAAGCTAATCTGCTTTGATGAAGGTACCCAGTCCATGTCCAGGCTCAGTGCTGTGTGCATGTAATGTAATACCACACAACAACAGATTTGTTATTTTAGCGGATGAAGATGGATGGATGGATGGATGGAGTCTAGGCTTTTCTATTAGTCTTTTCACTGACTAACAAATAGCACTGAAGACAAAAACACATTTGAGTGTCTTTCCACGGGTCTTTTTTTTTTTTCTTTAGCTAGACAGTACATGAAAATGTCGGGGTTTTAACAAATAATGCTTTCAATGAAATGAAATGTACACTTAATAAACAAGAACAACATTGTGACCACTCACGATGACACACTGGTGCTTTTATTTTTTCTTCTGTATCACATTTTCACTCTCACCATCAGCGCTCCAGTCCCTGTCTCTGAAATGTCCTTTCATCCAACCTTTTGAAGTTTCAAGCCTTTCTTCTCATTATTTGTATCTCTGGTTGTTTTGCTATAATGGATCACAGAAAAGACCCCTGCCTGAACCCTCCTATGGTACATTGACTAGTATATTATCACCAGTGCATCCTCATCAGTGCCTCAATATTTGAATTATTAAGTCTGCTTTTTTTTCTATAATTCTGGTGTTCTTTGTGTCTTCTGTGATTTTTCAAAGGTGGACCTCTGAGGCAGTTCAAATCAGTTCTTATCTATGGTGCTTAAAGTGAAAAGTCCACCGTCCTCTCAGGTATCACAACTAGGTAAATTTTTGTAATTTTTCTACTGTATTACCACAATTAAAATTAAGCTATCCAGATGTCTGGCACTTAGTGACCAGGACCTTAACAAGACATTTGTGTGTTCCTTTATATATTTATGTGGCAAAGGTTGAAATGCTAGCACCAAACAGTTGGGAGCAATTCAACTGTCAAAAGAAACAGTAGCAAGATGAAAATGCATAAAAATAAAATGACAAAATAAATCCAGAGGTAGAGACGACAAAGCTAGTGGCTGTTTTTTAGGATCCTTTTTGTTTTGATACTTATTTCCATTATTTCCCTAAACTTAACTTTTTTTTTTTTGCCTGACCAGCTAGAGCAAAAATGAGAACTGTAGAAGTGACATAACCCCTAAGTCACAGTGGAGCCAGGGGAAATCATGTCAGCACTAACTGAACTGTGAGGACAGATGAAGGTAGCAAGTGGAGCAACTAGGGGCAGATGAAAGATGTGGTCATGGATCTCCACCACTCTGTGCTGTTCACCCCCCCCCCGAACTGAACTGAGGAGGTTGCAGTTATACTGTATTGTCAGACATGTATCATACGTATGTCTGTTATGTGTGCCTTTTTTAGGAGACTATGTTCCTGCCTTCTTAGAATTGCTTTTATTATGACTGTCCCTGAAGGACTTTGGATAAGCGAACTTATCCAGGAAGTCCTGGCAATAAATTCTGCACTCCAGTGTTCGACTGGACACATTTTCCAACTGAAATATCAAAGGCTACATGGATAAAGGTATTTAGAGGCTTAGAATTTGTTCATCTGAACCTTTCAGACTGTGAGGCGCTTACAGCAAATACAGTATAAATAGACAAAGTTTGGTAATGGAAAATAGTTAGGTCATTATTAACAGTGGTGTGTGTTTCCAGATGTAGTGGCAGCTCTACAAAACACAGTTGGCCTTGAATAGCAACCGTGTGACAGCTGTTAACGTTGGCTTAGTTGATTTAAAACAGCACCGCCAGAGGCTAAATTGAAAAACGCTTTAGAGTTTCCATTTTATCATCTCTGGTCAAAAGGCGAGAAAACGTTTTGCAGCATTCCTCTTGGTAAAGCAAATGGACAAGACAAAAAAAAAGCAATAATCACGCAGAAATATCTCCCTGCATCTCTGGATATTTGTAAGTATCAGAGATTTAAAAGTATGAGTGTATTCTCTGTGTTATCCTCACCTTTCTTGATCTTGCGATGGAAATTGATGGCATCCACTGAGGCAGTGACAATATTGGTATTGCAGTGACGAGCTGCCACAATGCCAGCGACCTCATCCATCAGCTTCATGGTCACACCTGTGTCAAACACACACACTTTTAATTTATTGCATGCAGTCCAGCCAAAAAAGAAGCTGCGTAGATAACCCTTTTGCACCACATTTTCTTACTCCACTGTGGCTCTCTTGAACAATAAGACACTAATGACACCACCCGTCCATCAGTTCTGTAGCGATGCTACATGTGAATATTAGCTAATGTGCTCCACTCTCTGCTCAAGCTACAAAATAGCTTTGTTATTTGTGAGTAATAAAAATACATTTTCAGGGTCAAGAATGAAGCAAAACTGACCAACATGTGATTGTGAGCCTGTACAACCTGTAGCATCCAGCACTCTTTTCATCCCCAGTGAAACTTGACACTCGCTTGTCTTTAAATCGACAAAAGCTTTTAAAAGAAAATGTAGTCATCAAGCTGCCGCCAAGTTCGAGACACGGTTTCACTGAGAAGAGATTATTGGATGTGGAAGCTAATGGGATTCCTAATGCAATTAGAAAACTATCCACCTAAAGTTAAATGCCAAATAATGAACAAGTCTGCTTGCCATTTTCTCAACATTACCTTTTCTTTCAGACGCATTAGTCTAATGTGTATGAGCTGACTGTCTACCAGAAGTGTTTCCAGCCAGCTCACGGTAAGCTGAAAGATGTCATCAGGGCTCAATTAAATAAAAGCCATTATTAATTTTTACGTTTCCCCCATGTTTGGTAATTCTTCAAATTACAGCTTGTTTATCCACTGTAAACAACATATAATGAAAAGACAAATTGAAAAAACACTTACAGACACTACACGGGTCATTTGTCTGCACCATTAAAACAGGATAAATGATATTACATTTTTATTTACATTTTAAATTAAAACAGGACAGAGTAACATTACCAAAACCTATTTTTTTATGTTAAATCTAAGTAACAATATTTTCTCAAATTAGTACATACAAATACTTTACAGGCAGTAATTGTGCCATTTTTCCTTCATTGCAATGTTTGACTGTATACAATGACCACTGGTCCTGCACTGCTTTTTCTGAGGCACAGTGTGAGTCTAATAAAACGGGTATAGTAAAACTCACTACTGTATACATTCAGACAAACTGGCAAACTGTTTATACAGCCCTGCACATAATGAGTGTCCTAAGAAGCCTGAAGAGATTGAAGAGTGTAAAATTATTATTCCTGCACAAAACGTCTGAACCGGTGTTGGCCAGGCAAGAAGCACAAAGTTAGGAAAAATTGCCGTCTGGCTAAGATCTAATTTCCAGTAAAACTGCAACGCGTCGTTGTTACTGTTACAGATCAAATAAACATTAATTAGTGAGCTACAGTCACGCTTCAGGCAGAGCCAGTAAGCCCTGCGTGTTTGAAACGCATACAGAGATAAATGTTTGTGTTTGCTGTGAGCAGTCAATGTGTTTAGCCCAATCTTGGTAAAAACAGGGTGCTTGTAAGTATCTGGAACACAACCTGCACAAAGACAAAGAGCTGTTTCTCAAGAAAATGAAAACATGTGGTCGTAACACATGTGAAGAAGACTTGGATAGATTGTTTGCCGCAGTTTGTTATTACAGTCGTTATCAATGACTGGGTACTCAGTCTCAGCCCTGCAGCTATTCCAAAGTGCAACAGTGAAGTCTGTTCTCTGTGAGAGATGAAACAACAAAAGCTCAATAGCCTCCTTTTAAAGTCAACAGGAAGGTGTGCATTTGATTAAGATGTAGACAGATTTAGTGAAAAGTATCACATTTCAAACAATTCAACAACAAAAAAGTTTACAGACCACCTTTTCACTTGCAAATAAATCTTGGAAATAGTCTGATGTACAAGAAAACAGTTTGAAATCAAAGTTTAGAGATTACACGAACAACACGCAACTTGGCAACTTGTGTCAAATGCAAAGGAAGCAGTTGTTAGTTGAGCTCTCGCAGAAAGCAAGTGTGTGGCTTAAAATGAACAGAAAAAAATAAAGAGGATGGCGTCTGCTTGTCTGTTCTGTTAAAGAGTGTGTGCACTCTGTGAAAGAGTGTGTGCACTCTTTCACATGTGCTTTTGTGCACCTACGCTCATTTGAAGACAGACGTACCCTCCGCTAGACACTCCGGTTGCCTCAGTCGTTCCCTCTGAGCTGCTTTTTGTATAGCTTGTGTTACAGCAAATCAATAAGTGTGCTTTCTGATTGCTGATTTGGCTCCCGAGGGTTCATACCATCTGCACTGTGTAGCTCTGTTTGTGACAGCCAAATGTGTGGGAGTACAAACAGAATGTACCGCTTCTCCAAAATGCAGCATTCACTGTAAAAAGTGGGCCCACTGAGTTGATTAAGAACTAAACACGCTATTACTGAGACATGCTCTTACCCCAAATCATGTTCAGAGAATAATGGTCATTTTATTTACCGTCCCAGTGTCTGCAAAATGACACTGTCCAGCTAAGTAGAACCATTACAGACTGAAACTAGTTCATGACTTTCCAACAGGACGTTTTAAAATAGAAAATGGATTAGCGCTGACTCTGATGTGTGATTATTTGGTTCAACTCAAACCCAAAACAAAAAACGGCTGATTGATTAAGTATATTTGTCAAAAGTGCTCTCTGATTGAGGCTGATGATATGACTACATTTAAGGAAATGCTGTTGCCACACATAAATGGGACAATAGTATGTTAAGCTAAAAATTATGTCCTTAAATCTGTTGCAAAGTTGTTTTTAATTGGGGTTTTCTTTTTTTAAAGCAACTTTTTTTTTTATCTTGTTTTGTGTTTTGCTTTGTTTTTGTTTTTTTCATTTCTGCTATGTTGTGAAAATTGATGGGATCTCACCTAAGATTGAAAATTTCCCCTGGGTACAAGGCACAGCAGGCTACTACAATTCAAAGCCTGTAGCGGTCGTGTCTGAGCATGTAACACTTAATGGAGATGGATCCTGACCTGAACAAGATGATAAAATTGAAAGTAAATGCTGCATTACATCAAAGTGGTAAACTTCCCGACTTTAGTTTGTTAGGATCCCCCTCTAACTGAAAGTTCCTCTCAGCTCATTCCATTTTATCTACCAACAAATTTAATCATTACCTTATAAAAAAAAATTCAAAAAGGGAGACAATAAAAAATTTTCATAGTACTGTTTGCATGCAAAATAGGTCACATAATCACCCGGCTCTGCGGTTTTACTCCATCCTAACATTTATAACAACTTCTAGCTGTTGTTTTGGATTTCAGCTGCATTTATTTTCTCCGTCTCACAGCTCTGATCGATGTTTTTAAACAGAGGAAGCAGCTGTTTTCAGGAAAAATCCCCCACCCAGGACTAGACTACATGCGAAGTTAGTAACCGGCTCATTAACAGAGTAAAGCATTTAACAGCAAAAGGCCAGATATTTCACTGTTACAGAATCTGATCTGAAATATCAGTTTCTGTAAGTAGATATTAAAGATTCTACACATAGTAAGTAAACAGCTGTCCTTCCCTTTGCTACATTATGTGTTTTATCATTTAGGATTTTAGGAAGACTTTTTATTTAAAGGTCATTTCAGTTTTTGAATGATGAGCTTCTTAGTTATAATAATATTGATATTTGGCTTAGCAAAATCTTGCTTCCCTGACATAAACTGATAACCATCCAGGCATCGGGCTGTTTTTCAGCTGTTAATGAACTGCAACATTTTATGTAAATCTTTTCCACTAAAGTTAAGGCATTTGGTAGTGAAAAGATAATTTATTGTATTATACATCAATCATACACTCAGATTTGTTACAAAGTTATTACAATTGAAGCTGAAATCTGGGAGTAGAATTTAAGGCAGCAATCTAACTGAGCCAGATAAGCAGTAAGTAGATAGTGCAGCTCCATTTTCTATATTAATGTCTTGTTTGTCATCATTTCAAACAACAAAGTATCTGAGTCGGAAGCAGCCATGCGTCAACAGATAAACCCAGAGACTTCTGGCGGCTAAGAATAACTACAAGCACTTTTTCGCTAAAAGTTTAATGACCTTGCTGAGAGGCAATTATGAAGAATCGTCAACATTATCTACATTTTTAAAATTCGTTAAGTTTACGTTTGTTTTTTTCCACAACATATGCTTGTCAAATTACAGGAAAATGCTTTAGCACTTCCCAGACTAGTTCATTAGCATTACTCATCAGCAGCAGTAAAGTTATAGGCTGTATTTACTTCAGAGCGCTGCTATTAAATTAAGTTGTTGTTGGGGAAAAGCAGTGCGTGCCAGTGTGTATAAAGAACATGGGGGACGCTAGGACCCCAGTTGTTTTATTAAAAAGCTGACCAGAGCTACAAAAAAACCAAAAAATTTTGTAACGTGGACAGGACATGATGGATAGAATAGAATAGAAAGCATTAAATACAGAAAACATTAAATATATAATAAAAACATGTTTTATACACATAAAATCAATAAGATATAACTTCTTTCATATAGCCCTTTACTTTTTCATCTGCATCCTACTACATGCCACGTGTCGCCTATTTAAAGTGCTTACTTACTGTGTATAGTTCCTTATTAATCCAACATTTAAGCACATAAGTGGCTGTGTAACATGTGCATGAAATATGCAACTTTTAGTGTACATGAACTACATGAAAACGTACATAGGAGGAGCATCATGGACAATGCATTATTGACACTTAAAGGTTCACTTCTGTCTGGCAGACATTTTTTGTACTAATTGAAATAAATTTTAAAAGCTAATTTTAAAAAAGCTAAACTGCAATTTTGGTAAATGCAGTGTCTTATTTACTGTCCACAGAAGAGACAACAGTCAAAATCAGGTAACTGCTGACAACTCATTTTAGCTGCACATATTCCACATTTCTTGAACCCAAATAAATGCTTGCATATCATTTATTTCTTCCAAGATCAGCTTGGATTCCCGAACTACCAAGTGCAACAAAACCCTATGACTACAATGTTGTGCCACATCAAGTTAAAGACTGCACTGTCCTTGGGGACCAAAGATGCTTGTCTTGATTAATCACTACCGTCAGAGGAACTGCTAATG